AAGTTTGGTGGTATCATCCGCATTTCCATTTTTCATCATTGCCCATTGTTCTGAAGTCATCCTTTCAAAAAAGGATTCAATCAGTGGACAAACAGAAGCAACTTTAATCTCCATGAACTCCTCTGCCTCTTTGATTCTACAGTCAATACTGTCCATTGTGATTTCTGTATGGATGTATTTCTACCTTGTATTTAGATCAATTATAAATGATGTTTTGGTTATTTCTCTCGTCTATCTGTCTGTCAGATAAGCTGCTTGTAAGATTTCTCAACTAATAAGAGCTCCGTCCTTTAACTTCACTGTCCTCTAAATGTATGCTCCCCTTAGCTATCTTTCTCAACATGGCACAGATCAAAGGCAAAAAAAGCCCTCTGTCACCTGACGTCAGAGATCGAAGTCAGTTAAGCTCCGCCCCCAAATTTAGTGTCGCTAGGCGACACTAAATTTGCGTGAGAAACACTGCGTGAGAAAAGCCACTGTATTTTTTAACTACGGAACAGATAGGAATCAAAGGGGTTTCCCACAGAGTCCAGAAGGAGCTTGCCAAGCACCAGCTAATCAAAAAAAAAGAAATATAGCTACCCAACAGCCAATGAATAAATAGCATTGCTGTATCCGGGTAAGATTTAGATATTCCCGCTGCAACAACGCTACATCCTGGTTACAAAGAAGACGCCAATGACACTTTGATTCAGACGCTCGCTGAAGTACAGACTGATCGACGTGGGAGAGGACCGTTATATTTACAGTCTATGGAGAAGAGGACCATATGGTATTAATACAGTAAGTCATCTCATCATTAGATTTCTGTATGTTGGGGAATATTGTGTCCAGTCAGCTGGTAATCAGTAATATTAGCTAACAGTTTGACCAGAGTGTGTGAACTAGACAGCCAGTTGAATCCTTTAATAGTTTGTTCGTTTCTATGAAGATTATTTCAGGTCTCGATAGAGAAACGTTGAACTAGTAGACAGTTTTCTACTGTTGCTATGGTGGTTGCTATGGACGCTATCAACAACGAACCGGAAGGAAGTGGACGTTCGGTTCGCGGTTCTTAAAACGGGTTACGTCAGACCCTACACATCAAACTAAGCTCCTATGTAATAAATAATGATTTCTGTTACATTTTTATGGATGTCTTTCATTACAACCAAATTAATAAAACGATTGGAACAGATAGATGTATATTAGCAACATTATAAACTATAACATGTAACAATACATAAAGACAATACTGTACAGTTTGTGTGATTTATATGATTTCATAATTTTATTTAACAAAATAATCCTGACGGATTAGATTAATACCAGAAAATGCAATCAATAAAGTAAACGGCCGGCGATAAGAACTACAAACGGGCGCATGACACTGACATCAGATAATGACGTATTGATAATCGTCACTTGTCAGCGACCTCTTTATTAGATCTTTCAGGGGATATTTACTGATGTTTTTTAAGGTTGCTTGCAAAAACACATCTTAAATCTGTGCGCCAAGTCTGATCTGATTGGTCGGCCTGTCGGCTCTGCCGTAATTGGTCAGTCGCTCAGCCACTCTGGCTCCGAGGTCCGGGGAGCAAAAACACATTAGCACCTTAGCACTAAAGATAAAGAGATAAAGATAAACTGTATTGATCTCCAGAAAACGGGACGGGAATATAATTATTAAAAATAAAAATAGAAGTTAAAAATCAAATCAAACATATTTACATCAGTTAAATAAAAAAAATACAATAATGGAAAATTACACAGTAACTACACTGGAAAGAGTTATTGTTATTAAAAAAACACACACAGTGTGTAGCATTATTGAGATGAGTCATGAGGTGGTGATGCTGTTAAAGAGTCTGATTAAACTACTGTGCTACCGCAGTCGACGGCATATCGTGGGCGTGCAACATGAGCTGCTGGGCCACAACGAGCCAATGGGCTTAGATCAGTGATCTCACACTGACAAGACGTCACACTGGCAAAAACATTTCGAGGGGGGCTAGAACCGAGCGTTACATGCAGCTAATGCTGCAGCTAACAGGAGGAGGTAGGAGAAGCCACATTTCCGCAGACTTTGAATTTTTGCACATAGATGTGCCTAAACATGCACAGGACACTTGGAAAACACACTAAAGAGCAGATAAAACCAGAAAAAGCATAATATGGGACCTTTAATATCTTTCAATATCGTGCATTTATCATCAAGTGTGGTTTTTAGTTTTATTGAAGATGCCTGCATCAAGACGCACAGAGCGCACAGAGACCTGGCGGTGGCTTCACACATTTCGCCTCCTCCATACTCAGCACATCTTCATCAGCTGCAGGTATTTATTCTGTAAATAATTCAAGTGTGGACATTAAGTCGGGGCATCTCTGACACGATCATTAGGCCTATATATCCTCATAATTAGTCACAGAGCAGACGGAGTTTCCCATGAAAAAAAGCGGCCAACAATCAAATGTTTTTGTTCGTTGATCAAACTTTTGATTACTAATATGATATAGTGAGGCAGAATGCTGACTGACGTGAACACTCTGACAATATGAAGAAGTCAGTGTGGGTCCTGTAAACATGTAAACATTGCAGATATTCTCGTGCTGAATGATGAACGGTGGATGTTTTGGTGCTGTAGGAGGACAGCGTGAATGCAGCAGCGACGTGGTGTCATTCTCTGATTTTTCTTCAGTTTGTGATCCTCCTGCTGCAGTAAACTACCCATATGTTCCTCACTTCATTCACAAACTCCTCTGTTTCTGGGTCAAAGTTTCGTTTATTCGTCTAAACTTTCGGGTTTGGCCGCGATCCAGCGCTGGAAACCTTTGATCTGCCCCCTCGTTTGTATGCATTTTCATTCACGAGCTGCTTTGCATTGACTGTTTATGTTTGAATGTGGGCGTGTAGATGGCGGAACATGGGACTAATCTACGTGCGCACATTTCCAGGTGGATCGTGATTTATAAAGGGAACATTGCGTGCAGGTGTTCGTACGAACGGTTTTATAAATCTGAATCATTTTGTGCGCACGTCATTTCCGGGTTTTTGCCGCACTTACATTTTCAGTATGGATTGTACGCACTCTTTTATAAATGAGACCCCAGTTCTTTACACATGGTGCTCTTTTTAGATTTCAGGAACTACTTCCTTTCCATGGGCCACAGGAACAGGACAAGGTGAGTGAGGAGTTCCTGGAGTATCAACTCATGGAGATCCCCATGCCCCAAGATCCCACCACCTTTAATGTTGAGGAGTTTTGGGGGAGTATGTCCTCAACCAAGAGCAAGGTAAGAAATATTTGGCAGCAGCTGACATACACATAATTAATTGACATAATAAAAGCAAAACATTTGATTAATAGTTGGTTCCTTTTTTTCCAAGGTGACCGGTTTGAGTCAGTTTGGGAGGCTATCTAAGATAGCAGCATTAGTTTTAGTGCTCCCACACTCAAATGCGGACGCAGAGAGGGTTTTCTCCATGGTCGGCCGAAACAAGACCAAAACGAGAAACAGCTTGGCACTGAATGGAACACTTTCATCAATCATGACAGTCAAAATGGCTGGCCTGGAACCACAGTGTTTCAAATGGGAGCCACCAACCCCCTGTGCTGAAGGCCTCCAAACCTGCCACTAACACCTACAATAAACAACACTAACCATAATCACACACACACACACACACACACACACACAATCTCCCACAAGGGAGGGCAGATAAGCACCCCTGCACTAAGAAATGTTGTCAATAAATAGTTTTATTTGTACAAATTTATGTGTCTTTTATCAGATTTTACCCAAACTGCCGCCGCAGCCAAAATCTCACTCTGAACTCAGTTCAAAACTTGAGAGCCCTGGATATCGGTAAATGTTGGACTTCATCTTGCCCATTTAACCAACACAGCTCCATATTTCATCACCTGAAGTTGGAAGAAACACTCATGCAATCATTTACTGTCTTGCTGTGATTATATTTAATTAAAAATAGTTTCATTTTAGAATCTCTGGATGATTGTTCAGCGAAAAAGTAGTGAAGAGAGAAATAATTGATTAGATCATTTTTTTAAAACCATGCAGTAAATTGTCTTTACAATGAGCTATTTGACTTCTTATTTTGTGAAACCTGACAGATCTTTATAAGAAATTAAGGAATAAAATAAAGTCTGTTAAAAACTTGAAATACACCTGTATGAAGTGTTTGTTTTTTGGGTCTGTCTGCCTTTATTGGATCGGACAGCCGAAGAGAGACAGGAAATGTTGGGAGGAGAGAGTGGGGGATGACATGCAGCAAAGAGCTGATGTCGGAATTGAACCCACGGTCCTTTTGAGATGAGGTATAAAGACTCCATACATAACCGCTTGTCCATCTGTCACACTGGAATGTGTTTATTTTTTAACCTGTGTATTATTGTTTTTTTATAATTGAATTATCTGCTAATTGTTTTTAAAACAGTTTCTTTCTGCTACCGTAGACGCTCACTGTGAATAGGAGACTTATCCAAAATGGTGCACGCTGACATTGAGGATTCTGTGAATCTAATTTTTTGATTTTTAAACAGTGAATTTGTAAATTAAGCAACACTTTAATCTGTTTATTATTTTATTATCAAATATAGTTCTACAGTTCTTATAGTAAATGATAGGAACTTAGTAGACATAACATTTTATAAACTTATTTATTTTTTTAAATCCTGAAACAAATGATGAGGCAATCAGATCTCAAATGGTTTGATCATAACAAAGTTTAACCAGAGTAACACTGAATCAGCAGAATTTCAGACATTTTTGAATTTCTAATTCACTTTTATTTATTTTTTAAACAAATTTTTAAAATTCGTGCAACACATTGTTACAGGATACGATGGGAGAATTTGCTACAAGAGACTAAAAATAAAAACCTTTGTGTTATTTGAAACTGGTATGCAAATAGCAATAAAAATTTTCATATAAAAAACACACTGAAACATTTCAAGCCATTTGAAATTGATAAAATACATCAAGAAGAGACGCTCAACAGGTCACACTTTGCAGTATTAAAGCTTTATTTCATTTGAGCACTGAAACCAGCTTTCTGTAGCAATACTCGTGCAGACGCACTGGCCTGGCAACTAAATATTAGTTACATGATACATCATTTCACAAAGAAATAGATCTCTATCAGGAGGAAAGAGAAGGCATTTGTTTCTGACAGCATGAGTCAGTACATATACACTGATATGGCATCTGAACTTCATATAAAAATAAATCTCTCAACATAGGAACATACACATCCAAATCAACGCTTTTTAAACAGGAAAGCAGCAGAAGTACAGTAGATAACATGAGCATCGGGTAGTAAACACATCTGGAGTGAGTTTGGGTTACATCACAGCAGGTCTTCTGGTATTTCATTCAACTTTAACTCCTTGATAATCATTTTTGTGTCACTGTAAATCAATCAAATCTCAAGTCGAACAGGCTTTTTTCATGTAAAAGTTAAAATTACATTACATATTCATCGTATTCAAAGGAAGCGATTACCCTCTGACGTTGCACCAAAGCTGGGAAGCTTGAATTAAAGTGTCATACTGCTGTGGTTCAGGTTTTCAGCAATGCAAATGTCAGCAATCTGTCAAATCATTTTCAACCTGGAAGTGAAAATGGATCGTGAAATCCTGGAGGGACATGGAGGACTGGTTTGACTATAAACAAAATATTTGTTCTCCCACAACTTAGTGTAAGAAAACAGATAAAGTTAGCAATCTATGACTTCCTGCTCTGCAAAAACTCAAATCAAAGCGTGTATTTGTCTTATTTCTAGTTAAAATATCTCATTACGCTTATTTAAAGCCACGTTCAGCTGACAAGTCTAGATACAAATCGTCTTCCTAGATATAAAAAATGTACTTGTTGAGTGTATGAAATGAGATGTCTGTATCTAAGTGAGCGAGTACATCTCATTTGAACCCAATGGATAAAAAAAGGAGTTCGCCCCGTTGGCAGATTTGTGTTGTTTAGCCTTTAAATCTGGACGATGTTCTTCAGGGTTTTCACGTTTAAGTTGGTGCCTTTAATGTTTTTAAAACTATTTTAACAGCATGAGCTTCACAACCTGAGTGTGACGTCAGAAAACAATGGCCGCCGTGTTCATTTGTTGTCTTTTCTTTAACTGACACAGACTTCTCTTTGACTTCAACCTTCAAGACAAACACAAACTCATCCACTCTCTTCTGTAAAAACCACAGGATGCTTTCTTTATGTTCTCCCCAAACACGTTGTCAGAGTGTCTCACTCCACTTGCGTCCAAATGAAAAGCTTACAAAGATGGGAGCAAAGTGGCTCCAGGTGGGAGGTACGACTACCCATCCAACATGACAAACTGTGTGTATTTACTTATTGATCTATTTCACTTTTAGGTACTTTGGGGAGAATACATGAAGCAGACAGCCTATGGACAAACACTCAGTCACTCATCATCACAACATCCTCAGCACAGCTCTGTGTGGAGGTAACACTAGTGCATATTCACTGATATGGCATAAGCTTATAGTAGAAACACGACCCAAACCGAAGCAGGGCCGTATTTCTTAGTAATACTCACAGAGCAAGAGGCAGCAGAACAGAACAGAACAGCAATCTGACTAGAAAATGAGAAAAGTGGATCTGGAGTGGATAAGAATCCATGAACTCTTTAATGTGACGACGAGGAGAACTATAAGATTGCATTTTAAGGGGGGGAGGGGTTTAGTGGTTTTTGTGCAAGGAAGCAGATTTAAGGTTGACCTATGGAGTTGTTTTTAATCATATTTCACTAAGTTGTCTATTCACTTACATTTGATCAACTTAACGCGTGTTTTGTGTCTCTAGCGAGTTTGGGAAAGTCAGATTGTCTGTTCTTTGTAAAGCTGGCTTCTGAAGGAAAAAGGGATGTGTTGCACACTTAACGCAATGTAACAGGTGGCAGCATACACACTGATATGGCAGCTCACCTTCAGTAAACAAAGTGGCAGCAACACCTTCTCCTCTCATCACATTCACTCTGAGTGAAAGTCTCCAGGAGACCTCGTGCTTGAGTTACATCTAAAACAAAAAAAAACGACCGCAGATGAAATCCAAAGGCAGTTCCAACAACACGATATCCTCCCTTAGATTAAAATGACACTCAATCAGGTAAAATTATACAATCTTGAGGATGAAAATACTTGAAGAGAAGGAGTGGGGTTTGATTATAATGCAGACAAGATGGTGAAAATATAACGATTGTTGTGTCAAACTTGGAGAAGAACAAAAAGGGGGACAGAAGGGAAGACGTGAGGAAAGAAAAAAAATGGTGACGCAGGAAAATTAGGAGGAGAGCTTTGCTCTGCTTTTACATCCAGAGGTTGGCGAGCATGGTGCTGAACAGGGCCATCAGCAGCAGCCATACAGAGGACATCACTGTAAGAGGGAGGAGATGACAAATATTCAAGTGGTTGTTCTTCACAAAGCAACTTAAGCAATGACACACGGAGGGGTGATGTTGTTCTGGATATCAGTAATGCTGTGGTTTGATCATGGACAGAGTGACGCCGTGCTGGTATTTAATACAACTCAACCTCAGGTGTGATATGGGTTCATCAAACAGTTCTACAAAGAGTTTATAGAAGTAAAAAGTCAAAATCCACAGCAGGTTAATTTGACCTTCCTTACTTTAACTAGTTCCACAATGAAAACTCCCCAAAACAACATGTTACATCCTTCTTTATGGATCAAGCTGATGGCTCAATGTATTAGTCTTCAATCCACACATATATGTTTATATGTCCAATACAGCTGAATGATGTTTGAATAAGTTAGGAGATTGATTCATACGAGTACTGCACTTCAGCATGTAACACTGCAGTATATTTTACTATCATATCAAGTGTAATCGACACCAGGCTGGATTATCAAAGAGGTCATACTTTTACAGTATCGGCTGATTGGCTTTGATGCCGAGAGATGAAGTGACATCAATCACTCACTCATTAAGTACAAGAAGCTGTCAATCTTCTGTTCATCAATACATATCTTGATTTTTTGAAACACAGCAATAGGTATTTTGGATATTTGTATATATTATTATTGTTTTTATTATTATTATTATTATTATTATTATTATTATTATTATTATTATTTTATGTTTAATTTTAATATTTTATTGTTGGCATTCATTGTGGACAGCAAAGAAAGAATTTCATTATACAGGGAAACATGTTTCCTACTGTGCACATGACAATAAACATTTTGAATCTTGAATCTTGAATAGTTGTTTTTGTTGGCATTGGATTGTAAAATGTGATTTATGAAGTTCAGGGTGTTTCATTTTTATTTTTTACCTGCACTTGATGAATTACACTCCAGCTTCACCAGAGAGTCCATGTAGCCCTGTCCCAGCCACTCCTGGTAGGTCTTTCTGTCACCAACTCCCACAAGACGGACAGTGGAGTCTTTGAAGATGAGATCTGTGCCCTTGTAGTTCTGCGAGTCAAACATCCTGAAATCTGTTCCAGTATCACTGCTGAAATATGCCTAGAGGGGAACAAATGAAGAGAAAATGAATAAATAGCAAAACTGATCAAGTGGGGGAAAAAAAAAAAAGTTGAAAATAAAAAAAAAATGCATCAAGGGAACCTCAAATGTCAGAGGATTTGGAAATGCATCAGCAGAAACTGAGCTTCATAATGCAGTGTGAGGTCTTAGCCGTTTGAACACCCTTACCTGTGCACGGTCCAGGAGTCCGTAGACGGCGTGGATGTTGGTGTCGGGCCGAACCATCACAGCGTGGGAGGGGACTCTGGCCAGGTGACAGTGTCTGTACTGTGTCACCTCAGCTTTAGAGCTCTGAGAACAAAGCAGCTGAAAATCTGTAGACAGGAGATCTGTTGTCCACGATTCAGCAGAGTTACCTGAACACACACACACGCACACGCACACACACATACACACGCACACGCACACGCACACGCACACGCACACACACACACACACACACATACACAGTGGAGGGGTTAACAAAGTCTCCTAACGCGATGAGGAAATAATGTGCACCTTGAAGTGACTTGTTTTACCGTCTGTGTTTTGGAAAACAGTCGAATGCTTTACAAAAGCCACGTCTCCAGCCCCGCTCGCCAGACACCTGATTGGACCGAGAAGATAAAAGTTAGCGTATCGTTTTAACACCTCGATGGCTTGTTACAGTTTCAGTTGTGTCATCAGTAAAATAAAAATCAACAGCCTCTCACAAACACGTTTCTTTAGTAAAAAATAAAGCATAAAATGCTGCAACTCTCAAGCTGCATTTCAGAAATAAAAACACAAAACCGCTTAGAATTCAATTCTGTCCTCTCAATCGGAAGGTCTGGGTTCGATCCCCAGCTCCTGAAGCAACATGTCCGATGTGTTCTTGGGCAAGACACTTAAGCCCAAGTTGCTCCCGCTGCTTCGACAGCAGCGTATGAATGTGTATGAATGTGTATGAATGTGTTTGAATGTGTATGAATGGGATTAGTTACTTCTGATGGTCTTTAGCCTCTACCATCAGTGTGTGAATGTGTAGGTGTGACCTGCAGTGTAAAAGCGCTTTGAGTAGTCAGAAGACTAGAAAAGTCCATTTACCATACTAGTGGAAAGTGCAGATTCAAACTCGGTAAATTTTGGATGAATCATTCAGCTATATTATATTTTGCAATATACTCATATATGATACCACATTTTGCAACTGCAAAATTCAGAATATATTTCATTTTTCAAGTGCTCTGATTGGTGTCTCTGATTTCTTTTCTTCATTGTAATGGCAGCCGGGGCGCATAGGTACTGTTGTATTTAAATCTGCAGAAGTTATGAGACAAGCGATATAGCTCAGAACCAAAGTTGGCCTTAGTCATAACACTGACAGACTCATATTGAGGTTTGAGGTTGTTGTTTGTTTTGTAGTGTTTAGTACCTGAAGGCACCGTTGTATCCATCGTACAGATCTTTGCCTTTCTCACACTTGTTCTGTCCTACATCGTCTCCCACACACAGACCACAAAGGCTGTCAGGGAAACCAGGTTGGTTGGCGCCTGGTACACAGCTCTGCTTGAAGAACCCTCCCACCGCTAAGCATCATGGGAAAAAGGAAAAATACAGTTAAAATATTTTTAAATGATTCAATACTTTAATCTTTTAGTGACAGGTATCTATATGTCCCCACATTTCCAGGCTGCTTTTTATAAATTGTATTTGATTGATGACTGATTACATGTTCACAAAGCTGGTTATTGTAAAACTTAAACTATAAACATTTCAGACACCATATTTGAAGAGACCATATTTGATTATTTGATGAGTACATCAAGATGGTCTTCAATTACTGTTCAGCTATGAGTCCGCCCAGAAAAGTGGTCCTCTAATCTAAAATGAAAGAGCAGATTTGTTTTTTCTTGTGATTAACTATCTTGTAATCTAAGGACGAAAGCCTTTTGCTTCCTTTGGATGACGTTATTTAAAGAATGTAAACATGTCTGCTTTTAGTTTTTGTCCATAAATCAGAAAAGACATTAAAGAAGAAAGAGTGACAAATAATCTCTGGTATCTGCTTTAATGAATGAATATGTGTCGTTTATAACGACTATAAACAAATATATAGACCCTTAATTAGCTATGTTTGAGATGTTATGATTTAACAACTTTATCACCTAGTTTGTATGATCTCTGACTGCTTCAGCTAACACTGTACAAAAACACACACACACACACACACACACACACACACACACACACACACACACGCACACACACATCGACATCCCTCTGACCTTGTGGTATCTGACATTGCTTGGGGGCGATCAGGCCTCTCTCTATCAGCATCGCTGAGGGAACGTTCCAGCCAGCTGTGCGACCGTACCCGGTGTGACAGGAGCGGCGGCCACGCAGGTCATCAAGGTTGCGGATGTCAGTGCTACTCTTTCTCACCACCGCGACTGCATAATAAATGGAACCATCGCGGTCGTCTGGAGACACAAAAAGAGGAAAAACAAATCTGTATCTGTCGTCTTCCAAACAAGTGAATGAATCTTTATGAGAGTCTCTATTTTGGGGGGATAGCACAACGAGTTAACCTCCAGTGTTGAAAAATGAAGCCAACGCAGTAATGCAGAAAAACTGCCGATCAATAAGTGTCCACTTGAGGCTGATAGCAAAAATTAATTTGTTTGCATGTTTGCAGCCTGCTACAAAATGATTTTGCTCTAAACAGCTAATATCCTTATCGGGACACACCGTACAGGTGGGGATTTTTTTTATGACTTGTCCATTTTGATTATATTAAGGCTTAGAGTTCTGCTTATATTGTGTATGACTGCTGAACTGACTGAGAGGCGGGTGTGTTGTGGTTGTTAAGGCCTCAGCTCCACCTCTTTGTCTGTTTCTAGATTGACCAAAAGTCCAGCATTTCCAATATGGTGAGGCTGGGCTTCAAAACTACACTCCAGAAATCAATTGTTGTCATCACTGAGCCTACATCCATGTTTGATACAGTCTATGGATAATACCTGTGTAGCTCTCTGCTGTAGCTGGGACCAAGCCGTACTCTTTGCCAGCCGTATAGATGTAACCTCCATCCAGAGTGACGGCATCCGCCTCGTTGTTCTACACGAATGTGAAAAGGAAGAGCAGAGATTGAGAGACAACAAATGCTAGAAAAAGTGGATAATTTCTAGAAAGAACACTTTGTAGCTTTCTTTCAGCTTGAAAGTTGTGTTACCTTGATTTTCTCCATGCAGTCAGTCACAGAGTCCCCGTAGATACACTTGACGTCTGGGGTCAGACCTTTCCTTGAGAAGGCTGCGCCCATGTCACCACACTTCTGCTGCTCACCGCTTGACAAAACACACCAGCGCAGGACATCTGGGGTATTCAGAGAGGAGTGATTCAGTTTAAGATGAAGGTATTTTCATGATAAAGATCTTTAGTTTTGTTTTGCTTAAACAAATAACAACATTATTCTGATATATCTTCAGGCGGATAGATCAATAGAAAGATGATTCACCTTCAGTTTTACAGTCCATGGCTTTCATTGCACTGTAATAGAAAGGTCCCATCCATTTCTGGGGGTCGTCTGACTCAGCTTTTTGAAACGTGACGGATGAATCGGAGAAAAGCAAGTTTTGTCCTCCAAACATGTCAGAAGAAAACATGTTGAACTTTGATTTTTCCTGCAAACAGAAAGTTACACTCAGTTAAACGTCTATCCAAATGTGTGATTGGTGTTTATTTAGTCAATTTATTTGTAAACCACAAGCCAGAAGGGACTGATTTTAAATGAGTTCATTCAAAGTCTGGAGACAGCAACAAAGAAAGCAAGTCTACAACAACAACTCTTTATAATCAACTCCTGAGCTTTTAATCATCAGCAGCTTTAAAGGAGATGAAGATTTTAAGTTTAGATCAGAAATATATGAAAACTGTTTAAGGAAACTTTACATTTCCTGCAAACAGTTTGATATAAAACAGTGATACCACCCTGATGTCTTTAACTATATTAAAGCTCCAGTCTGCAGGTTGTTAGCTTAGCATAAAGACTTGCCGCCTGTTTCCTTTCTTTGAGCTATGCTTAGCTAAGCTGCTAGTTGTGCTAGCATTTTTTAACATGCTTGTGCTAAACATAAAAATATAAAAAATAAAAAATGTGACTAGTATAGACAAAGAATGGTCGTACCAGGCCCTCAGTGAGCATGCCGAACACCACGGAGGGGCTGATGTGACTGCCGACTGCAATCCCACGAAATGGGACGCGGACGAGATGGCACGTTTTCCACTGAGAGACAGGAGCTCTGGAGCCGTCACGGCACAACAGCTGATAGTTTGCTGACTGCAGTGATTGAGCCCAGGGTGGACCATGGCCTTGTGAAAAAAAATGACCTGGTTAGCTACCAGACATGCCAACTAATGACAAGCAACAAAGAGGCTGTCGCTGCTATTACCGTCAGTGTTCTCCTCGACAGTCGTGTGTTTGATGAAAGCCACCTCTCCTGCATCCTCAGCCAGACACCTACAGATACAAAGACAACAACACGCAAATAAGAACAAGGTATAGCCATTGTTGAATTGTCGAACTTCACACCTGTTTTTTTTAAGCGGCTGTGCTTTCCAAATCCAGATTTTCCATATAAAACACATTGATTGGTAGCAGCGTGGCCCTATGGACGGCAATGGCTATTATAAAAAAAAAACCTTTGGCAAGTACGTTCAAGGCAATTAGTTGATCATTTAAAGCTTGATGATTGTTGAAAGATAAATCCTAAATCCATTTGGTAATAACCCCTTGATGACCTGACAACATCCTCTGCACATCAACTTATTCTTGTCGGCAGAGCTCTAACTTTTCTTTGTATGATTGTAGAAGTTCAGAAGGATGAATGTGTGTCACCTGAAAGCTCCTTCATAACTGTAGTACATCTCTTTGTCGCTCATCTCACATACGTGTGCTCCTTTGCCGTCTCCTTTACACAGCTGACACAAAGACGCAGGGTCAACCTCAGCGGCTCCAGGGACACAGCTAGCATTGAAGAAATTTGCCACACCTGTCCAAACACATACACAAAGGTCTCTTTTCCTTTCTGTACAGGTTGTTAATATTTAGTCATCCGAGGAACCATCGACCACACGAGAAGTATTGGTGTGTTTCCCTACCCTGTGGGATGTTGCAGCCCATCACAGACATGTAGCCCTGGTCTATGAAGTATCCTAAAGGCATATTCCAGCCGGCTGTTCGGCCTTTCCCGGTGTGGCAGCTCTTCGTTCCTGCCAGGTTGTTGATGTTGATAGCAGAATTTGTTTTCTTAACAACAGCTACTGCATAGTAGGAGGCACCGGTTCCTGAAACAACACAAGCACACACATTAACACACACGACAATAAGATCTTAAATGTCTAAGATACCCCTCTAATATGTGTAGGCTACATCCAGCCGTGGTTATCTTAGCTAAGCGTGCGTATTTCTAGCTTATTTTTAGGCTAGTCCAGTGAAGCATGTATAAGCTAACTTGATATAAAAACACATATTTCTGAGTAGTTTCTTAACACTTTAAATACATGAAATGGTAACACTTTATAATAACCATCATCTATAAAGGGTAAATAAGGGTAAATAGATAGTTAATTAACCATTAGTTAATAGTTATTTACTGTTAACAAACAAATAATAGTTAATAATGTTTGCTAATGATTTGTAATGCTTTAATTTATGTTATGTTAACAGTTTATTGATGCACACATTATAACATTTCATACAATTTATAAAGTGTTTGTTAATGATGACCAAATGATTTATAAACCTGTAAGAGATGGTTTATAAAACATCTATAAACATTACAGAGATACTTTTGCTTGATTGATTTGTGCATCAATAAACTGTTAACATAACATAAATTATAGCATTTCAAATCATTAGCAAACATTATTAACTGTCATTTATTTGATTGTTAACAGTAAATAACTATTAACTAATGGTTAATTAACTATCTTTTTTACCCTTTATAGATTATGGTTATTATAAAGTGTTACCCATGAAATATAAAGTTAATGTGAGCTTTGGAAGTCATTTTTGTCAGGTTCCTTTTTTTCTGACAATTCCCAATCTTGATGCTAAGCTAAGCTAATCGTGGGCTAGTTCAATGTCACGTTTAGCGCAAAGACATGAGGATGGTATTCATTTTATTGTCTAGCTCCCCTGAAGAAGAAAAAAACATTTGAGAAACTCTCAACCACTTCCAGATCTACTCTTGGTGGCACAGGCTGACTCTGTTGAAACTTACCATCATCTTTTGATTCACTGGCAGCCATCTTGAGTGAAGCCGTCTTCCCCAGGTTGTAGATGTCACGGCCGAACATGGACAAGGTGTCTGCTTCTTTTTTCTGCAGGGACAAAGTATACAAAGAAATGTATGTTTATTGTGATATCAAGGAGTTTCAACTAATATCAAGAATTCCAAATGTAACCAGTCTCACATGGACAGTTTTTAACTTTTTAAACATTTTGTGTGAAACTCTGTAAATGTTCGGGTGTCTTTAAGTGTTATTTAGTGTAAATGAAAACGTCCAATTTTTAAATATACATGTTATGGTCATAATAAGACATGCTTTGGGAGGTTAAATACTGAAATGTGTTTTGAGCGTATCAGCTTTTTCCTTATAACTCAAAGGGAAGTGTAAACGTCAAATGTTTTCCTCCTAGTTCAACTTCTGGTAACCATGGATACCCTATCCTGAGATCAAACATCGTCCAGTTCTTGGTCATAAACCTTGTGGCCCTCCTGATAACGTCATCACTTATTAACATGGGCATTGGTGTTGTCCAAAGAGTTTCTTCATGTTATCTAATCTTTGGTTATGTGTTTTTAATGACACCTATGATTTAACAGACGACTCACATTAAAGGTATTTTACAAAGCACGATACTTAAGTAAGTAATTCAAACGCTGTTGTCAAATTTGGACCTGTAGTTTCTGAACGCAGCCCTCCACTGTCTGTCCGTTGACGCAGCTGAGGGACGGACGGATGGAGACTTCGGTGAATGCCTGAGACATGGCCTGACATTTCTTCTGCTCTGCATCAGTGATGGTGCACCACCTGATGGTGCTCTGCCCGAACACTAGGAGAGAAAGACACAGAGATCCCTTTATATTAAATGATTCCAAAAATGATTTAATGAAACTATCCTGTAATGTCATGAATCCATTCTGCCAGCTTTCAGTGCAGCTCCTCCAAATGCTTCTCTGACTGTAGCACGCACACCCCACACCACAGCCCGGATCCTGATCTTTGATTGGAGGATTTATGTAAAATAATGTTTTAACTATTTGGGCTGTTTCAACAGGCTGCTAGAAGTTTTTTTATTTATTTGAATGTGGCGCATTTCCATTTGTTAAGAAGTCAAACATTTCTCTTTAAGTCCTCAAAGAAATATGCTTAGAAATAATTAAATGTTGTCACTGCTAGTGCAAAAATCCGCAGAAATATGAATTATTTGAAATACTTTAATGTTAGTATTTGAAGTAGATATGATCATTGGATATAGAAAGCTTAATACATACACACGTATTTTTCTTCCTTCTTTTTCTTGATGGTATTTTAATCCATTTTAACTTGGACCCGATTAAAAAAGTAAAAGAAATGGATTCACAGTCCTGACCTGAGAGTTGATGAAATATTGGTTTAGCTATTTCACATCTTCAGACCTTTAAAAAAATAAATTAAATCAAATTAAATAAACTTAGACGCATTCGGTTTGACCACTCACAATTTGACCTGCGAAGAGTAGACTCTGCTTTGCTTTAAAATAATAAGTGAAAAAAATAAATAGAGCGTAATAAACCAGTGTCTAATGAATGGAGTTATCTCTTTTCTCTTATCAAGCCTGTCTTGATAAGAGCAGTACATCGAGGTCAAATGCAAAGTGATTCAGGTCAACATGTTCTACCTGATGATGAGTCACAGAAGTTTACAGCATTTCTTAAACTTTCTATAGTGACGGATTAAGTAGAGAGCAGTACATGTATCCTGATGTACACAGTGTTCCATACAAATGATAAAACATATTTCATTAAAATAAGATGTATAATAGTGAGGTTTAATAACAGGTACAGTAAGATACTTATTTAAAACTAGACAATGAGTTAAGGCTGGTTGATAAATGAACCAGGATTTGTTCACTCTGTGTTTTCATCATGTTTTATGCTGAAGAAAGTTCAGATTTTTCTCTGTCGCCCTGAACACTTTTAGGGTTAACCTGATAAATCAATGGGCACAACACATTGTTTGTGTGAATATGTATACTAAAAAAAGAATAAGAAGTATTTCAGCCTGTGTGAGCTGAATCTACTCATTTTCTGTCAGATTTTAATGGTTCGATTGCATGAATCATGAGGGCAGATGTTTCCACACGTTAGACATTTAAACTTTAGGTTTTTTTAACCTGAAATCTGTGGCAAAAATATCATCATGCAAGGTTGTATTTGTTAAATGTAAGACAGGAGAGAGTCAGCATCTGATACAGAAAACATAATCTCTCTTCAAATAACATAACTTTTTTAAATATGTTGTATTTTCTGTTTTCTGAAGGAAACACAGACTGACATTTAATGAATCTTCTAAAAGATCTCTTACCAGTATGTAGTAAGAGCAGGAGTGCTGCTGCTGTCCTCCACATGGCCATGACCTCGCTCTCTTCTTCTCTGTGTGGTAAAAATAAGCCCCTTCTTCCCTCTCCTCCACTTTATAAGTCGACTCCTGAGTCAAAGTCCAACTTCTATCTCCCGGACCCGGTTTAAAGTCCTCGTGTGAAGCTCACAGGAGAATGTACTTTATGAGCGATTTACAGGTCAGTCATCTGCAGCGTGTCATTAAGGACTCTCATTTGCAGATCATTGTGGAGTTTATGAAACGTGTCTTCCATGTGCAGCTACCTGGTGTGGCACGTCTCTGCTGCTGCTGCCTGGCTGCAGGCCAGAGACCGGACAGAGAGGTCTTTCAGAGGCAGAGAGCCCCACCTCTGTATCCCTCTCCTCGACTACGGTGGGGCTTTTCCACTGAGGGGCAAAAGGAAAGAAAGGATTGAGGCTAACATGAGTGAGGCTGTTGGTTCACTGGAGCAACACAGACAAGGAGCCTGTTTTCCTGATCTGGTCACTAACTTTGACCTTAGATTGCATTTTTAGAGGTCTGTCCTGTACAGAAAAACCAGATGATGCTGAGTTATTCCAAGAATTAGATACTTAGAAATGAGACATACCTACATAGATATAGCCTGTTCACTCTGATTGGATGGTCATTAAAAGCTCCTGTGAGGGGCTTTTGGATGGTAATAAAACAGTCTGAAATGAATACTGATGCCTCTATACGATCATTTGGCCGCTCGCCTCTGCAGCAGGGTCAGTGTTAAACAAAGTGAAAAACAGCTCACCAAAAAAAGCCTTTAGAAAATGTTCCACAGCAAAGATTTCAACGTGAGTTGCACGTTAGACATTCAATGTAATGGAGGACTTACTGTGTACACATGTACAGGATCAGCAAAGAGATAAATTGTCCTGCTTTGTCATAAGGCCACAAATAAAAATGCTTTATTAAAACGTTCCTCACAGGAGCTTCAATTAGAGGAAAATTAAGTGGGTATTTTATTTCTACACTGTTTGAATATAAACTTCAATCTGACATATTACTCGACAATCATCACCAAATCCAATTAAACATCACAAAGTACACATTTTTTACTACATTTTTACGGCGTTGCACTATTTGATGGCTTTAGTAACCACATGTGACACAAGCAAAAATGAAAGGCTATATCAAATGTTATGCATTGTTACAGATGAAACCAGATGAAGCGATTACAATCTAGCCTAACCTTGACATCAACAGCCGCAAAAAGCTGCTTCTTACAAGTGAATCAACATCAACATCATTAATCTTAATATCAGTCCTGGTGTTTGATGGTACAACATGGACTTTTCCCCTACGTCAAATTGAGTGTTGATACCCTGGGTAACTGAAGTAATAATTTTAACACAAGGCTTTTCTTGTAACAGGTTTTTTAACCTGCAGCAGGTTCGTACCATGCTTCGCTGTAAAATAGTTTAAAGAGAGTACAGAAGAAAGAAAACAGGAAGGACACAACAGACTGATGGCGTTTTACACCTGAATTGCTTCCTTCTTTTATCATGTACTTCAGGCTGTTGCCATTTCTGCAAACACAACATCAACCAAATTGAAATTGCAGGATATAAGGATGCATGATATGGTGATGAAATATTTCTGCAGACATCTGGTGAAACACAGGAAGGAATCCTACAGTCGTGAAACATGTGATCGCTCTGATTGTTCCTACTCTGGTAAGAAAGCATGGGTGGTAATCCATGCTGTCTTCTTTTGAAAAACACAAAAATGTTTTCAGAGGTAACTGGGACACTTGGCATCCCTCAGGTACCCTTACCGAGACCACAAGCAGATCTGATAGCTTTTGTGTCTTTGTTAGCTATGTCTCATATTAATGACATGGAAACCACCAACACCAGCTTCCCACACTCTCTAAAAGATGTTTTTAATAACTTAGTTTTAAAAAGTTTGATATACCTCAAACAGATCTTCTGAGAAATTCAAAAATGTGTTGGGCCCCTTTCCTCGCTTATGCAGAAAATATTACTTTCCCGGTTATCTCTGAATAATAATAATAATAATACTGATAATAATAATAAGATCATTCTCTGATATCTCTGGTGCTGAAACTTCTCGATGAAGTTGAATTTAAAAATCCCAATGCAGTTTCAAAACTTACATTAGATGGATTACAGTGCAGTACGTGAAATTTTCATTTACCCTTTTCAATGCTTACAATGAATTCAGTTGTTTTAAGGCGGTAAATGTTACAGCAGAACCAGACGTTACAGTTGTCTCTGGGGTCAGGTTGGGTTTGTGCAGCTGCAACATTCACAAGAAGACGCGACGTGACAAAGTGTGGACGACATGGTGGAGGTGTCAGGAGCCAAACTGATGCGTCAGGAAGCTGCTATTTACAGGAGCAGTCATCACCTCACATCAGCTGACCTGAGACCAGCTGTCACACCTGACTTTCTCTGAACTCGTCCCACTTGAATGCTTTTTTTCTTTGCATGTAACCATTAAAAGTGCAGATCTTGCTCTCCTGCACAGGATTTACAAGGGGAAAAAAAACCTCTTCCACCAAACTGTACTGTCACGTACAGCATGATTTGTCAATCCAAGGTACCTGTAAAACTCTTTTATAGGTTCTGAAGTGATAACAATATTTATGCGTTGTACATTTTTTTTTTTTCCCCTCACAAGATATTGACCTTGTATCACCAGATTATGAACTTTGACCCAGACAACAGAGAAGACGTGACATACTTGAATGAGGTCAGATAGATGCTGACTGTAAGATCTATGAAAATGATTACAGGTAGATGATTACAGCAGTTTTACCATAAAATATTTGGACAATATTGAATTGACTTGAACTTTGGGAAAGATACAAATATTCTTTTTAGGATTAATTTTAACTACATGTAATCATAACTTGAAACTAAAAAAAACTCCTGTATGTCTCAGCTATGTTGAGTGAAGCACTGAACAGCAATTGTTAGCGGGTTAAATGAGCTGCATCCTGTTAGCATGGTCAAAGTGAGAATGTTAGAACTCTGATGTAAGCATTTAGCTCAATTTATTGTGCAACCGAGCAGCTGATCTTGTCTTGGAATGGTGTAAGTAGTTAGGTGTTTCCTGACCAAAAACAAAACCTCATCCTGCTTTCTTTAACAGTCAAACACATCACCTCATTGTGAATATTTGCTTCAGTCAATACAGTCTGTTTTAAGTGTTGTAAATGACCTCATCTGACACCTACTCCATGGCAGCAGATACAGGCATTAGAAATTAAAATAAAACAAATGGTCAATCTTTTCACTTCTGGTCTTGTTTCTTTTGAATCTCACTGAGAGACATCAGTATTGAGATCAGTCTGTTTCATAACCAGTTATAAACTTATCATAGGAGCTTTATAAGGTCCAGTAACTGTGACCTGGCAAGTGGAACATTTTCCTAAAACCCAAAAGATTTAATTGGTTTAGATATGTCGAGAGGTTCATTTTACACTGAATGGTTTTACCACTCTAAAAATAGATTTTTTTTTTAAAGGCTCTAGAGGGGATTACTTAGCGTTTGCAGCCAGCCTCTAGTGGACACTCAAGGAACTGCAGCTTTTTGCACTTCTGTCTTGGCTTCATATTTCAACAAAGGAGGTTGTTCCTTGGTTCATCTCGAATGTGCCCTCAGACGATGACTAAAATGTACAATTAAAAAAACAACATTCAGTATTATAACTAGAATTCCACTGTATGCAGCAACTGTTTAACCTTAATTTATTAATACGGTTTCTATTTACAGTTCAGTAGGTTTTTAGCCTGTGTCATCAATTGGAATTCTTCAAATCATCAGTCAGAGGAAGCTTCACCTTCATGAGCAAAGACGCTAAACAACTGAAACAAGTGGAGCCTGACCAGAGATGAACAGGGAGAAAGAAATGGACACAAAAACATCAAGCCAAGGAATTTCAGTAAATCTCAATAAAGACTTTTATTTTTTGTACCAAAATAGGCAGTTAGAGCAGGGATAAATATTATAATATGTTAGATATAGATCCATCTCTGTTATAGATTCTTTGCATCGGTGCTTTACTCTAACAGACAGTGGCATGGTCCCCTGGCTAAAACACACAGCCAGAGTCGTACAGAGAGTCCAGTTCTGTCAACTCACAACACCACTGGTTTACTTGATTCATACAGGAGTATACTTGGAGAGAAATCATGAAGCTGTGAGGGAATACCGAAGCGTTCAAAAACACATGTAGTCAAAATGGTTGATTGTTTGGATCTAGGAGCTACACTTTTGACAGAACCGTCTCTCTGAAAGTCTCTGGTCTCCAGTCAGCTTGGAGGGGGCGGGGGGGCGGGGGGCGGGGGTGCCTCGGGGGGATTGGGGGTGGAGATGAGAGATGTGGATGGCTGACAAGGTCCGTACAGAGGCTGTGTTACCAAAAGCATTGTGATATTACAAATGTTACGCTTGACAACAGAGAATATCATCTTGTTTCAGGTTAGCTCCATTTGTGACCTCAACCGTGTGTGAGCTTCTCTTCTCAGGGTAAAAGTCTGGCTCAGTAAAGCTGCAGAAGGGAGGCAAAACCCGTGAGTTCAAAGGTCGCTGTGAAGGTCAATAAATGGAGAGGGATCGCAGAGTCAGGTGATGGTTCTTCTTCATCACAGTGTCTTTAAAGTACAGGACAGTTGCTTCTCCTTTTTGTTTCCTTTTTTATTCCTATTCAAGTATTTTATAGAGATAAAATGTCTGCCAGAGGCCAAACAAACTGTTTCATCGCTTATTTCTTCACACTCTGATTTTTCTTTCTTAAACAGAAAAAGTTATAATCACTACGGATCACTTGCCAAATCTGACGATCATGTGAACAAGATGAAACAAATGGCTAATTATGAATTTACCTATTTGTTGTGCCCTTGATAAATTAGGCTTCCACTAATGAATCACAGCTCACAGCACTGTTCCTCAAAGCACAGCATATAAACCAGGGCCTGATAAAAGCAGCAGGACAATTAAAGAGCTGTAGCGACACTGTACAACACTGAGAATTTGTTTTTGTTTTGTTCATTGCAAAGCAGGTTTTTTTTTTAAATATATTTTGAGACACGTGTTCACTTCCTCCTCATGTCTCTGTGAGCAGCAACGACTTTGGAAGGGCCAACGCTGTCAGAGGGTGTACAAAGCGAGAGATGCAGTGTCTAAAAGAACCAGCAGCCATAACAGCTATTACTGTAAAGTTCACGTTTACGCTCCATCAAAGTGGGAAACGGTGCCTCAAATGAAAACAGAATCCTGGAAACGTATTGCATTTCAAAATGAGTAGTCCAAACAGAGAGAACAGAGGTCGTAAAAATGTTGGATTCAGACATTGATCAAAATGTTCTGTCGATCATGGCAGACTGTAAACACCTTAGAGATGAAGAAAATCCCTTTAAAGCTTGAACACTGTCCACCCTGAGCCTGCAGTATGGAGTAATGCATGTTGAGCTAAGTTCACAAATGGAGCTAATTTGAGTGTTAATCATGCACACTTGAGGCGCAAACTTATAAAATCAGCGTAAAAAAAAAAGAAGAAGCTGTTGCTAATGCAGGTCATCAGCTCGTCAGCCCTGACAGTATGTTCATCTGAAGTCTTTCACTGCGCAACAAAAGCGTGACGAAGCAGAAAAATGGCACGGCACTGAATTTTTTTCAAACCTCTTTTGAGCTTTCGAACCAGCTTATTGTTCTCTGACACCTGGAAGAGTGAGTGAGTGTATCACATGTCCAAACACCAGAAACGCTGGGGTCACGTCATGCTAAGATGCATTTCAGAAAGCAGCCCTCGTTAGTGCAACTACAGTAAGACGGGAAGCTACAAAGAAGATGCTGATGATTATGATCGTGATGATAGTGTAGAAGATGAAGAAGATGATACACTGATTAATGCTGGAGTGATCAAGTCATGTCACACTGTGTGAGTGTGGAGAACGAGAGGAGGAGAGAGATGAAGGCATGAGACAGAGAGGAGGAGGGAGGGGCCGAGAAGCCCTCGAGAGAGAAAGACTTTGGATTTAAAACCACGGATCCTGGCCTGTATTTATCAAACTGTTGGACTGAAAAGAAAGAAAAAGCCGTAAAAGAAAGCTTATTTAATGTAGTTCTTTTTGCACAAGATTCTCTTCAATTTATAATGCTGTGATGTTTTGTACAAAACATTATTGGTCATGTTATTAGTTCAGATTAAAGCTACTGTGAGGAGTTTTTAACAGGTAATGAAACAGCCTGAAATCAATACTTGTTCCTCTTAATGACTTATTGAAGAAAATGAGAGGGTCAGCCAAGACTGAGGATTTCTAAACAGTCATTTTTAACGTCTTAAACACTTTTTCCTGGCATAGATTCTTTACAAAGAACAAAGCAGTTTTTCTGTAGCACATTGAGATTTGTTTAAATAAAAAGTACTTAAAACATTTAATTTATTATAAGTATTTTTAGCAGCTTTCATTTTATCCCTTTTATCTGCACCAAATTGCTTTCATAACATTTTTTTACATCTCATCTCTCAGCAGCAGGGTTAACTTTCTCAATCATCCTCTTTTTGTTTCCATGTCAAGATTAGAAATACACAATTTGAATATTTTTACTGGAAATGCTGAACAGATTTTTTTGTCTTTATTGGATAGAACAGATAAATGTGATGGAGAGAGGGTGATGATCAGATGCATCAAAAGGTCACCAGGAGTCAAACCTGCGGCCGATGCCTCCATGACTGTAACCTGTTTTTGGGTATGAATGAGCTCAAACAACGCCTGGAAACAGAATTTTTAAAGATTCAAATGTTTTTTTTTTCATATTTTGTGTGAAATGTAAGAATTGTGATGTACCATGGACAGGTTGAATGCTAATTGGCTGTTTTAACTTTAGACATATCCATTTAAAATCCTGAAGTATTTATTTGCTATTATGGTGTTTTTCTTTTAAGCATGAATGAAATTTGATAAATACAGGTCGAGAGTTCCAAGTGGAATTTAACACTGAAGAGCCTTTTTTTAATCTTTGGATGTCCAAAGTGCACTAAATACTTTATCTAATTAAATGAATCAAATCTTTCCTCAATCTATTTGATTGAACAGGAAATAACAATTAATTTAGGACTATTTCTTGCTACATTTCTTAACAGTAATTGTAACAAAGACTTATTTTTGCCCTTGATTACAACATGATGGGGCTCAGAGTTAAGTGTTCACCTCTTATCTAAAGGTCTTTAGACAGTCTAAAGAGGAAGAGAGGAAGAAGAAATGGGATGCGAGAGAAAGATAGAAAAGAGAAGAAGTAAGAGATAAACTCTAAACAGGAGCAGTTTCATGGAGAAAGACGGACAAAGGGGGAGAGAGATCAAGATTTTGTCCCAAAAACATGCTCTTAAAGCTACAGCGTGCAAAAGTCTGCCTCTTGGTGACAATATCATCATTACAAACCCATACGTGAATGCATTACCCTTTGTTAATATGAAAACAACAACGACAACAACAATAAGAACAATAATAATGAAATCAAATCAGATAATGGTACATGTCGCCTTGATTTAAACCACCTCCTTAAACATTAAGGAACCCAGCTGTAGGAAGATCCACCAATAGGCTGCTGGACAGACTTAAGCTCCTCCCACTTCAGGAAGTAGCAGTCCCAGATAGTCCCAGCCTCATCAGACTTTATGTGCTTGTGTAAATGTGTGTGTGTGTGTGTGTGTGTGTGTGTGTGTGTGTGTGTGTGTGTGTGTGTGTATTTGTGTACTGTTGTGATGTGTGTAAAAGACGGAGAGAGAAAGAGAGGAAGCAGGCTGATAATAGAAAATTCAAGAAGTAGGGAGTGTTGAAGAGTGATGTGTGTGATCACGTGGTGTGTTTATTCAGAGTCGCTCCTTGGTGGGGACCCAGATGTAAGGACCAGACTGCTCCTCGATGATCTGCTTCACTTGCGAGTACACCTCCTCTAGAGTCGCTCCATGAACTACAGCTGCAGACAGAAAGAGAAATCACATTTCCATATTAGAACATTTCCATCCAAATTCTGACTGGCTGAATTACAGCCCGGCCGCATGTCGTTTTTTTTGCTGTGCAGTGAACAGCGGGTCATGAGGGTCGTCATGGCCCATTTTAATGCTCCCGACTGGTCAGATGAATTTCTGGTGAGTTTAAAATTTGGGTCGTATGACTCAAACACTCCCACAGTGAGATCAGAACCATGAGCAGATCGGACTTCAGGGCTTGTTATTTTCAGACAGTGTCTGAAAGCACCATGGCAACAGCAGGCATGCCTGCTTGATATGTCTTCCCCCTCCTATCATGAAAGATATGAACTAGAGAAACGTTGGCAGGAAATACCTGCAGACCTCAAGCTGCCGGGGAGTATTTGTGATGAGTTAGCTGCTAGTTAGCTTGTGTTTGTTGTCAATGCTTAGTGTGTGAGTGTGTGTGAGAAAGAATGAGAAGGTGTCTGATGATGCTTGTATTTGAGAAGTGAATATGAAATAACTGAAATATGCATATATATCTGACTACAACTACCATCTGTTTGGAGTTTTCAAAGGAAATGTTATTGACAATTGTCAATGCTCCATCGGTTGGACATTCCACCGCAACATTTACACAGCGGCACGATGTACGCCTGTCCTTAAAGGTCAGAGTCTTTGTATGTGAGTGTGTGTTAGTGTACATACTTTGTACACAAAGGTCTCTTTGATGGAAGTTAAATGATGAATCTGTTCTCTGCAGACCAGTAAGTCCAAACAGCCTTGTTTGAAGTAAATATTATTTCTGATTTGTGAAAATGTCATCTCTTGTTGCCCCGCTCTCTGGGGATGTGAGGGTGAGGACATTTACCCGAGCGTTAATAATGATGCAGCAGCAACAGTCTTAGTAATTACACCACTTTGATTATTAACATCTGATCCTCTGCTACATCGTGTTCATCAACTGTTAGTTTACATGATTTGAAATCTGACTTCTGCTATTGCTGTGACTTTAGGGAACAGACACGATTTAGAGTCTTTAGTCCGACTTGTACTGATAGCACACTTAAAAGAGAAACAACAGGAGCAATGAGAGAGTAACGTAAGAGGTGTACGCCCATAAAACATAGGTAACATCAACAACTAGTGAAAACCTGTCTCTCACTCTTCTCATTAACGTTGGTCCAAAATTCTGAAATTTGTGTTTTTCTTTATGATAGAACTCTCGCTAGGTGATGATTAGCTTAGCTTAGCTTAGCATAGAAATTGGGAAGAGCTAAGTCAGGTTGGGGAAAAGTAACAAAAACCTCAAAAGGTTAACCAACAAAAGACATAACTGTAGGATTAATCATCCAATCTAAGGTGTCAAATGTTTCTCTAACATGTCAGCCATGATGGACTGTGGTCAGAACTCTTCCTGACCCCCTGACCTCTTTAGTACCACAACGTTGTCCTTGCAAAACAAACAATATTTTGCCATCCCACATCA